GATGAAGCAAATATGGCAAAATATTAATTGATGACTCTAAATGAAGGGTACAGTGACTGTTCTCTAAGCTTGAAATTATTTCAAAACTAAGGCTTACCAAATAAAAGTTAGACAACACTAAGGTGTCAGTAAGGATGTAGTGTAATGGTAGCCCTTATATTGCTGGTGGGAATAGAAATTCATATAATCACTACAGATAGTAATTTGACAATATCTAGTGAAGTTGAGGACTCACATAACACTCTGACTCGCAGTTCCACTGAGAACAAAGTCCCCAAGCTCAAGACGTGTGTTACTCTCAACATCACAATAGCAAAAGACTGTAAACCACCTCAGTGTCCTCCAAGAGGAAAATGAGTAAGCAATAAATCTGTGGTCTATACATATAAAGAAATGATACATACATCAATAAAAATAATCAAAGTAGAGCTACATGTATCAATATGCATAATTCTCAAAAACATAAACATGAAGGAAGGAAGCGGCCAAAGAATACACTATGTACTGTTTATATAAACCCTAAAATTATGCAAAACAATACTGTATGTTTATGGATGGATACATATATAAGAAGAGAGATACAGGGAAATAACAATCAAATTCAGGATTTTGCTACTCCTGGAAGGGGATATATTGAAGCTTTCAAGTATATCTGCATGTTTTATTTCTTAAGCTGAGTTGTAAGTACACGGTGTTAAGTATTTTTTGATATTTTTATATGCCTGCTAAATTTCATAATATTAAAGCATATTAATTCAAATTTCCAGAGCCAGCCCTACTGAGGGTGAAGTTTGAGAATCTGGGTTCTCCTATAAGATAAAGTTTGCTGCAAACAACTAAAACAGAGCAAGTGAAATCTCCAAATAAATGGCAACAAACTAGGTATGGAAGGGTATAATTTACAATGCTGTGTCTGTCTTGTTAGCTGTAAAATAATGCTAAAATTACAAAGCAACAGCAGCAAGAATAAGAAAAAATTATGTTTTGCTTAATTTTGCTACACAAATAATAAAAAATATGAACATTCAATACAGCATTTGTAATAGCTACAATTTCATATTCTTTAGAATTATCTGATCACAACATTTTTCAGGATTAGAACTTCAGCTAAAACAATCTCCCTTGTCTTAGTAAAGGAAAAATAATGGTTTCAAGTATGTCAACAACTAAAGCTAAAAAGACCCCAAAGAACAAAACAAAAAAAAACCCACTAAATATCCACTAACACTTTTGCCACTTCTAATTGCACCATTGCTAACTTCCTTAACTAACTTAATTTGGACATCAACTACTTCTGAGGCCAAGGAAAACAGGTAAGAAGAAACAAATCATACCTTCCTCATATTTTCTGCATCCAAGGCAACTATTTCCAGTTGGTCCCGCTCCTGCTCAACCTCAGTCAATCTCTGCAGCAGGGTCTCTTTCTCATCTTGTAGCCTTCTGCATTCATTCTGGGCCTGAGCTGCCTGGCCTTTGACAGTCCCCAGGTATTCCTGCAACCCACTGATGACACCTTCTAAGTCCTTCTTCAGGGCTTCATTTGCTGCTATCTGGCCTGAGCAAGACAGAAAAAAGGAAGGTGATAATGTATATGAGAAAATGCTTTCAAGATATATAATTACTGTATCTTGTATTAGCTATTTGTTATTTGTTAAGAATGAAATTCTAAGTTTCCAATTATTTCCTATCTTATTTTTCTTTATCAAGATTTAATAATAGTTTTTCCCCATATTATCCATGGTACAGCAGTATTACGCAGGTATACAATAAAAATAGTATATTCATGGGCATTGCTTATAAAATGCTTAATTCATGCTTTAAAAAGTTTAAAGGAGTAATTTCTAAACAAAACAATGAAAAACGTGCAGTAAAACTGAGTTCTTGCCACTAGATACACAAAACAAAATCACTCAATATACAAGATTAATCTAAGACTGGCAGCATAAACCAGTAACCTGGAGATTTAAAAGAGCAAACCAACCATATATTGGATACCTGTTATGTCTGGGCACTTTATGAACATGACCTCATTTAATCTTTCCCAAAACTAATGATTGTGATAGAAATAACTTGTCCCAAGTCACACAGCTGATAATGGCAAAACAAGGACTGTGGTCTTTTTACACCAAACCAAGGCTCTCATCACTACGGCCTATTATCTTCCTCTCCCTCTAAGTATGGCAATGTCACAATTTAAATTTGCATTGCAAAAATAAATCCTAACATTCTTTCTACATTTTCCTTATAACCAGACACTAAATGTCTGATCTCAATGCACTCTTTGCTCCTGAAAGGATTTTATGCCTTAGAAAAAGACAACCACATGCCAGAATTCAACATGATCATGTATGGACTTCTGGACTATTGAGTGGAATGACCTGACTCACAGAACATCAATGCAACAAAACTAAAATAAATTTTTCAAAAATTTTATTGAACATTTTTGAGTACTTTGTAAATATTTCCCTGTCAAATACTAGTACTAACAGCTGAAGCATATTCAGCCAATATCTGGATTAATGCCTGTCATTTGTCTTTTGTTAACACTGAAATTGATTTTAAATAATAAATTCTCACCTTCAGTAAGCTGTTGTTCAAGGTCCTTAATCTCTTCAGTCTCTTTAGCAATCCTAGAAAGTATCTCGTCCAAACGGCTTTCAAGTTGCTTGTACTGCTTGTTCATAATGTCAAGCTGTTGTTCTTTACCTCTTTTCTGAGCCTTCATATGGCACTGAATAGAGAAAAAAAATCGACAAAATCCCAGATTCTTTAAACTCTTATAAAAATATTAATCCTTAATAACATTTCTAAGGAAGAATGGAAAACACAATGTAAAAATTTGCATCTACTTTGTCTCAGACTCTTGTTTTCACGTGAGCAGTTTTCATTTAAACCTCATGATAACCTGATGTGGGAATCATCTCCATTTTACAGATGGATAGATTGAGGATCAGGAAAATTAAGTGATTTTTCCAAGGAAACAGCTAATAGGTAATGTAGCCAAGTTCGGTTTTCTTTGCTCTGCATTAAAATGTGTCATTTTAAAAAGGTTTCCAAAAAGTTAACTGATTATATATACATATATCCATAGAAAAAGACTATATTCCAAAATGTTATCAAGGATTATATCTGGGCAGAAGGATTACAGGAATTTTTTTTCTTTTTTATGTGTTTTCTTATGTTTAAAAATTTTAGAATAGACAAGTAATACCTTTGTAATTAAAAAAAGTTACACGTAATTTTTAAAAAGTTTCCGAGGAAAATGAAACAAATAATTCCTTAGAATTCAAGTTTAATATCAATTCCTTATGCAAAGAAACATTTTACTTTTAAGTTCCATAAACTAGGAGTTGAGAGTACCTCAAAGACCAACAGTGATTCTCAAGATGGAGGCCCCTATGGAGACACATCCCCAACCACTAAATTGCCTCTGGTGGAACACAGCGCTTTTCACACACCCACACACCCTCTCACACCCGGAGAGTCAAAGCACTAGAGTGCTATTGTTATCTGAAAGGACTGGATTGTATTTCTCAGGTCTGCTAAGGGAAGGACTGAGAACCAATGATCTAGTCTAACTCTTGCTTTTACACATGAGAAGACTGAATCTTAGATCCATCAAATGACTTGCCCTGATCTCCTTAGGCAACTGTTCATATGGAGACAAAACAATTCCCCAGAGCACCTGTGCCTTCCCACTCACACTCTCACGGCTGGCTCTCATTTGCCCCCACAGGATCACAGGAATAGAACAATAATAAATTAAAAGAAAGTTATCAGGAGAAAGAACTATCTTACAACCCAAACAAAAAACTCCAAGCTTCTCAAGTCTAAGACTCATTTGATTATAAGAGAATATTCTTCAATTTTACACGTCTACTGCCTCCAAAGACAAGAAAGAAAAGTCTCTTTATTTTTGAAGAATAAATGAGAGGCAGTTTGATTGGAAAGTTTTTATTTTACTATCATAAAACTTGATGGAATTCTCAAAACTCTTCTCCCACTCTCCCAAAATACCTATCTGGAACCTTTCTGAAAAGGCAACTGCAGATAAAAGCTTAAATTCTAAGTCAATTTAGGATTTTTATAGCTCAAGAAAGATTTTTACAATCTTCTGCTTTCACTTCTCCATCAATTAATCTTTAAAATTTACCATTAAAACTTCCACTAAAATCTCTTCACATGCAAGACCAAAAAAAATTAGTTCAATATGCAATAATCTGCATTAAACACATGGGAGCAAAAGTAGATTCAGCGATTTTCACTACCGTAGAGCTCACAAAGAGGTACTGTGAAAACAGGAACTTACATCTCTGACTCCACCTCCTTTTTAAGTCCTTTGTACAGAGAAAGAAATGATCGTACCTTAACTTAGAATTCGTCCTGTTAAAACCGAGCCGTTGAGAACAGAGAACTTATGGGCGGAAGGCTTTCTAATTCTGTCTTCAAACTCATGTGCACTTCCCTCTCTGACAGCCACATTTTCGTAAGCGCCTCCAAGACTCTCTAACTTTCCAGCGCTTCAAACCACATTCCTGGCACAGACAGAGCGGCAGCCTAGCCCGTCCAATCATAAGCAGCCTTTGTAAGCAGGCCCCACCCTCTGCGCTTTAAATCACAACACAGGAAGCGCCCACAGGCCAATCACGCACAGTCTCTGCAACAGATTACTGGAGGCTAATTCCCTCCAGGGTACAGATACCTTTTGCTTCCACACGGCATTGCCAGATAGGGACGAGGGATAAAAATCTCCCTTTATTATTTTGCTCCTGTAATATCTGTGCTTCTAGCTATGAACACTTTCTATAAAACAGGATTTGATTTTTAAACAGTAACTTTTCATTTTGAAAACTAGTTAAATGCTTGTCTGTTGAGAACTTGATGAGGCCTGGCTCTGGGCTAATTTTAAAAATAATTAATCTCTTTAGACCTTTAATTCCTTTGTGAGAAGAGAGTCATTGTACTAGCATAAATATGGGGTCTGCCTCTTCCTAAAAGGGGGACTTTGGGAAATCATTTAATTTTTCTAAATCATTTTCATCTTATGTAAATTAAATAAAAACAAGTACAATGCATTTGGCACTTAATATATTTGCTTCCCATCATATCTCAGAGTCCGTTTACTGTTTTCTAATCTCTCAAGTTTTTACTTCTAACTTCTATTGCTATTCAGAAAGATACTTCATCCGATTAGATGAGTTAATTAAATGTCTGTATCTACAGAAAAATATGCAGAGATCCCATTCTTGATTCTTTCTCCTTTGCACATTTTGTAGCTTAAAATGGGGGTGCCCAACACTGGCCAATAAGGTGACTTTCTGCAAGTTAGAAAAAGATGTTCCTTCTGGTGAACAAATTAAAGAGACATCATCTGTTGCTCAGACTAAGGCTGTAACCCTGAAAAACCCCGAGCCTTTAGGAGTTTTAACAATATCAAAAAGGAAACTTAAGTCTAGTTTGTATGTTTCAACTTCACTAATTCAAAACTTGAATCTAGTTTGTATGTTTCAACTTCACTAATTCGGACTGATTTGGGCTACCTTCAAAACTTGGATGCCTTTCCCACTTCTCATTTAACTCCTTTCTATATGTAATTCACAGAAATCCAGTAAGCATTACACTCTCTATACACCAAGAATATCATAGTCATTTGCTGAAAGCAAACATATAATCTAGGTTCCAGTTACACTCGGAGATCACACAACCAGAAGGAGCAGCAAAGACACTTTGGGTGGTTCGGCAGGTTCTTTCCTACCTTCCTGGATGCATGCATTCATAAACATAGTGCTGGCCCCTGGGGATACAGTTCCTGTCCTCAGAGGCCTGACATGGGGTGATAAGACTTCTGAACAAATAAATTCAATCATGTAAGATATTATTGACCATACTACATATTACTTAAAATCTCTAATTTTTATGTAATGAAAATTCTTTAAAATCATCAAGATTACTTTTGGTTTCAATTTTAATACTAAGTCTTGGGCTTTTTGTTAGAAAAGACCTTGCGTCTGTGATAATATGGCCACCCCTTGTCAAAATTAGCTGGCTTGCAAAACATATCTACGATATTTTACTAAAGTGTTTAAAGGGATAATTAAATAACTTGTCAAGCACCTAAAGCAATAAAGGTGTATTGTTCTTACCATTTCAAATTCTATGATTTCTCTTAATCCAGAGAGCTTAAAGTTTTTTTTTCAATCTTATTATTCAAAATATACCAGTAAAATAAGCAGGAAATATTTTTATTTCTATCTTATAAATACTGGCTAAAATATAAGCCATTAGTAAAACTTTTCAGACTCCATCATCTAACCACCTGACCACCTATCGCCACATTTTAGGAAGACATATTCTAGAGAAAGGTTTTCTTTTTAAGGATAAAACAAAACAATACAAAACAACAAATAGCTTTAGTGGAATATTTGCATAAAGGATTAAAAACAAATAGAAAAATGACTCTGAGCCTCCTCCACTCTCCCATGTCGCCACCTTGCTCTCAGGGAAGAAGATGAGGCAAGGAGAGAGAAATAGTAAGAGGTTTGGAGAGTACCTTAGAGCAGGTTTCTCTTGATTTGAAATATAATGAAATTCAATGACTTTAAAAATAAATGTATCATGTATCCACCATTCTACTGAAAGCTACCTCCTTCAAGACCTGGATTCTTTCATTTTAAACAAACACACATACACACTATATATATATATGTTGTGTGTGTATATACATACATATACATGTATATATATAATACATATACATATACACATATTATATATAATATACACATACACATAAACATTATATCACTCAAACTTGTCCATCAAACTAAAAGAGACTCTCAGAACTCTGAGGCTAAAGATGATGAAACATAGTATCTAGAAAGAATGATATTCTAGTTCCCATAGAACAAGCGAAAATCTCTTCATTTACTTACATGTTTTGGATCTTTGGAATCCAGACTATCTATGACTGTTTGCAGGTCCTTGATCTCCTTCTGCTTTTCAGCAATTTCTTGCCTTTGCTTTTCCATCTGCATTTCTAGATCCAGAGCTTCTTGGCGTAATTTATTCAGAAGTTGTATCCTACCACTCAACTGCTTGAAAAGAAATTCTTTCTCTGCTTCTGAAATCTAATACCCCAAATCCCAACAAACAATTAACAGAGGACAGCAATACTGATTTACAAATTTACAGAAAACAATTGTACAATTTAAAAATGTATTCATGCTCTATCAGTTTTTTCTCTAATAAAAGTAAAATGTAGGAGTTACCTAGGCATTTCATTCATATCTTTTTTCAGTTTTTTTTTTAATGGAGGTACTGGGGATTGAACACAGGACCTTGTGCATGCTAAGCATGTGCTCTATCTCTGAGCTATACCCTTCCCCCATACATATCTTATACTTTTATCCTTCCTATATGTAGAATATCTTATTTTATAAAAGTTTATGAAACATAGTAACAGGTAGAAATGAAGTTGTCATCCAAGTATAAATAACAAATTATTAATAATAACCATAATATTAACAGTAGCTGACTTTATATAGCACTTACCCTTGTATTAGCATATTGAGTCAATAGATAGTGTAATGAAAATTTTAGGCTACATTATATTTACTCATTTAAATTATTACTTATTCTAAACACATTTTGTAAGCATCCATTTACTTAAAAATTATGTACATTATTTATTTCTATCAATATAAAGCTTTGGCCAGTACTGTTAGGAAACATTCTTACTTAATTACCGAATCATTTTTGATATCTCCCTCCACCTCATCTCCCATTTTCAATTCATCTTTTAAGTCCTATCAGTTCTACTGCCAGGTTTACCTAGAATTAGTCTGCTTTCTCTCCACATCCACCATCACCTCCATAGTCCAGGCTATTACCAATTCCTGCCTGTACTAAACAACAACCTCCTAACCACTGTACACATCTCCATTCTCTCCATTTTTCTCATCCCATTTCAATCTCATCAGTAGCCAGAGTGATCTTATAAAAATACAAACAGGATCAGCCACTCTAGTACCTAAAGTCCTCAAAGTTTTCCCATTACATTCAGAATAAAATTCAAACCCCTTAAAATGGCCTATAATGCCTGGCATGAACTTTAACCTCACCTTCTACTACACTCTCCCTCACTCTGCAGAGGAATCTTTAGTCTGAAGTCTGCACGCACTGTCCCCTCTGGCTGGAATACTCTTTCCCTGAACTCAACCTCACTGGCTCCTTCTCATCCTTTGGGTCCCAGCCTAAACAACACCTCTTCAGAGAGGCCTTTGTGGGTTCCCATGATCTACATCCTATTTATTGTCTCTCCTAATTTTTTTTTCCCTATAACACTAATGTTGTTTAACTATACATTTCTTTTTAACTTATTTTTAATTATTTACTGTCTAGTTCCTGCCCACGAGGGAGGAACACATACGTGTTTTGTTCAGTATTCAGGGCCCAAGCCAGTCAGGGACTGCCATATAGTGAGCTTCCAATAAACCTGAATCAATTTCTAGTTACTAAATATTTTGAAAGTAACAATACAGGATATCATTTTTTAAAAGTATATAATTTGAACTTCACATTCTTGTTTTACCTAGTATGGTATGCGTATAGTTACCATCATAATTTTGAAATACTGGTTTTTAAAAGCTGCAAATAACTAATAAAACCTTTACATCCTTAAGAACTAAAATACAAAAAACACATCCTTTTTTTGAATTTTCTCCCTATGCAATTACATCATGGGTATGAGCTACTTACTTCTTCACAACACCATCTTTTTGCATACCATATTTTATATCATTTACATTTTTGCTGCTTGTGTCTGATAATGTTCATGGTAGAGATGTCTTCTGGCTCTTAATCTAGGTCCCAGGATCTTAAAGATGGGGAGTGTTTAATTAAATTAGAAGAGACATGTTAGGAAGCAGCTTCCCTGGGTAAAACAGACACTTTCATAATAGAGTAGATGGAATATAATATCTTTTTGTATAAATTGTTAAGTAATGTAAATATCTACATACTCTATAACATGCTAATAGGATGTGATCATAAATGGAAAGAAATGTAACTGGAAAATGCTAGAACCATATCTGACTTTGAAATTTGTTCTTCTATAATTAATTAAGCAGCACTGATTTAAAAGATTGCTTTACATGGTTATGAAGGGGGAAAACATGTTTCGTTTTTGGCATTTCCTCTTAGCAATGCTGCTTTGCTTTTACATACTTTTTTAAGTTGTATAGCTTCTTCAAGTTGTTTAAATTCTTCAGTAGCTCTTAAAATTTGTTGTTCTGCCTTTTCTATTTCATCATGCAGTTCTGATAGTCGAGTTTGTGCTGCAAATTTAAAAACCATGCACACAGACACACACAAGAAAAATCTTGAATTCTAAAATTTCTCTTTTTCTTAGCAATACCATCCCCCCCAATTAAATTGTGCAATTATACATAACAGGAATTTTTAAAAAAAATTTCTTATGATGGTTTTCCTCTGTATTACTTAACCTCTAGAATGGTTTCATGCTATGCTATAGAGCTATAATAGATCCTTTTATCTGTAAAAGTCTTAACATAAAAGGGGCTTTACTTGATACTTCCAACATTGAAGAACTCTTTGGAGAGAATAAGGATTTTATTGGTAAATATGCACTTATATGTCACTAAGTTATAATTAGGTTTAGGGTACTAAACAAAAACCTGTGTTAAAGGCAAATGCTTTATGATGGGACTCATTATCAAGAAATTCACCATTGAACAGTCTCTCCCAGCTGGAAGTGATCTCAAATCAACTACTTTCTACCTCAAATTTCTGACTTCTCTCTCCCTCCCTCCCCACCTCCTATAAAACTATGAGCCCCTTGAAGCTAGTCTGTACATCTGCCTGATTCAGTTTTATTTTCCCCTCCAGAGCCTTGCCTATAGTATATGCGCACATGGACAAGGCAGCCTATTTTCTCCCCTCTCCAAGTCAACCTTGCCTTCTATGTTTTCCATTTAGCTGCCAACCAAGGGAAGATGGGCTGCTGATCTCACTGACTGAGATCACCACAGCAGGCCACGATTACTAGTAAGAAGCATGAACTCAGGTTTGCTTTCTCCTTCCTCCATGTCCATTCAGCTAAGCGGGTAGTGGATTCAAGTTTGCCACTGGGAGGGTCTCTAAGTGCCCCCTTGGACTGATTTATTCCTCTTCATGATTTGCCAGGAAGTGGCAAAATCTCTTGAATTAAACGTTGGGTTTTGTTTGTTTCTTTTTTTTGGTGGGGGAAGAGGTTGAGGAGGTGGAGTGTGGGACAGGTCAGGAAGAGTCACAGGACAGCCTTAGGCCCAGGCCTAAAGAGAGTGCACTGATCCAGCTTATCCAAAACACTGCTTTAGGTTTTGACTACATGTACGGGAAACAATAAAGTGGTACTTAACTTGCTTCAATTATTACTAATTATGCCTTTGAATGTATAGGTCCACTAGTAAGAAGGACCTGTTGGCAGGATGAAATTTAAGCATTCTTGGATCCCCTGGATGCACTGCAATCAAATTATGGTCAAAAATCTCATTCACCATCATAACAGGAATCATTAAAAAATAACCTGCTCAATGAATCACTACTTTGGTTTTGGACTTCCCATGTAAACAACAATATAATAAATAACTCCAGCATGTTTAATTAGAAGAATTTAAAAACCAAATTTGCTTATATATTCAATCTTTTTATATTTTTAAAGAAAGAATTTAACTTTTATTTAACCTGCACTTATTTTGTTTTCTTTGTCTTCTAGTTGTACGTCCAGTGGCGTATGGGCTGTCAAGTTCACGTGTTCGTTTCTAAGTTGTTCCCCTTCACCTGGCTCCATCCTCTTGATCTCTACTGCCTGGGCACTATCAGTAATGTAACTCTCTGTGGCGAATTCATTTCTCTTGTATCTGGATTTGCCAATATAAGGGCTTTCATCTGGGGCTTTATCAATGTCGATATACTAAAAGCAAACAGATTTTTGTTTAATAAATAACTTCTAAGCAGTTAGGTGACATTATTCATTTTATTAGTGAAGGATATATCACTGAATTGTCTAAATATTAACACCACGTACATAGAAGTTGAAAAAAATATATCATTCTTTTATCTTAGTCTTAATACATACTAAAAAGGAACTAGAACAAAAATTAATCTCAAAAGAATTCCTCCTTCTATCCCCAAAAAGTGAGTTTGGATTGACTGATTAAGGAACTGCCTACAGTTATATAGTTTTTTTTTTTACAATACTGCTTAATCTCACAAATCAGAAACCTAGGTGTTTTATTTTGGTTTTTTGGCTGAAATATATGTAAAAATCTCAGTTTAATAAATTTTAACAATTGAATTTTTACTAAATACATGATACTGATTGGAATCACTGGATCTTGGAAGTTTAACTGTTCCTGTTGCCGGTGGCAGTTACGGTATTTGCACAAATAATGTGTGACTAGTAGTGAACCCAGTGATTACTGAACAATGTAGGGAGATGACTATTCTGGTTGCTGAAGCACTTTCCCTGGAAGTCTGGATTTAAGGAAGCTGATCAACCATACCCTAGAGTGAGGTTTCCAACTGAGGATTAGAAGGCTGCTTTGGGTTCAAATAGGACAAATATCCTCTTGGGGCTTTTAAACTCTTTTGGACACTGCTTTACCTCACTGAGCCACATAATTCACGGATTCAATCAAAATACATTTACTCTGTTGATATCCTCATAACCAGAATATGGAGTGATTATTGATAAAATCCTTTGAATATCTCTGCATCCTGCCCTCCCCTGCCCCATTCTACGCTAGCTTTAACTTTGGAGTACTATAAAATTAAAATAACTCACCTCTGATGGATAATAATTTAGTGGCTCAAATTTAGCATCAATTTTATAAAAGGCCAATTCCTGTTCCAGTTCATACTGTTTCTGACATGCTCGAGTTAGTTCCATGGTCTTCTGCCTTAGCTATCAGCCCAATTAGATATGAAATAACATACAGATTCAGTAAGTTAATATAAAGGCAAGTTCTAATCATAACTAATAATTAGATTATTAAAACCCCACAGCAAATAAAGCAACATTCAGCATTTTATCCTAATTCTTAAGTATTATAAAGAATAAAATACAAAATTATCATTTCATAAGAGATCACATAAAAGACCTTTGAAGTTTGTATGTTACTTCAGGATACAATAAAAAAGTTTTAAAAATCATTTAAGTTTGCTTTATCCAAACATGACAATAACTGTGTATCAATTATTTTTAATTAACCAGTCTACTAAGTACCAGCTTCCTGGTTTCCCAATAATTCGTACTAATTTATTTAACTTACTCATGACGGCTTCAAATCACGGATAGAAACGATATTTGGCATTAATTACAAACAACTTAGAAGGAGAGAGAAGGATGAAAACGGGAGCTTGGTTTTAATTGTTGTACTGCTGTGCTGTAGCATTTTGGCTAATGGCATCTCAGTTTTAAGTGTTCAGAACCTTATTGTAACAGAGGATAAGGGATGTAAATAAACTCAATCAGATCCAAATATGTAATATTAAAATTTTAATAAAGTAATCCTACTGTAATTACAACGTTTTAGTTATGATTAGAAATTTTAGGAGCTAGAAGAAAGCAAATCACCTAATCTGATCCTCTGATTATAAATAAAGAAATTGAGTTCCAGATTGGTGAACTGACTTGTCAAAAGTTACACATTAGATTAGTGGCATAAGTTAAACATTTTATCAATTACTAGTACCAGCCCCCTTTCTACTAAATTAATCCTTGAGTTCATTTCAAAGGTCCATTAAGTGATTTCTGCCTTTTTTTTTCCTCCAGTGTCTGACAGTAGATACCAGACAAAAAACATGCAGGAAAACTTCATTAATATAAAAATGCAAGCTGAAGAGAATAAAACATAAACAAACATGAACATTTTACAAGGCCCATGAAATCAAAACCGTGCATGATTTAGCTTACAGTCACCTCCTGATTATCCATCAACATGGAAGTAAGGCTAACCTAGATGGCAGGTAATCCTGCTTGAGTACTCATTGCATGCCACTGTGCTAAGCATTTGACATGTGCTGTCTCACTGAATCTTCCCAACTACCCCTATGTGACATTAAAAGTTGCACAGGAAGGTCAAATAACTTGCTCAATTGCACAGCTGGTAGCAGAAGAGGCAGAGTTCAATGCCAAGCTTCCTGAATTCAATCCCAACACTTTGTAATACGATACTGCCTTCAATGTCCTGCTGCAGGGTGTCAAGCACATTACCTGCACTGATGCTTTCACTGAATGCTCACTAGTCCCCCAGTCTCAGAAAGCAACACAACCAACAGTGTCAACAATCTTGGGCTTCTCTCCTCAAAGATCATTGGCAATGGGGACAAACAAAGGCAAATGTGACTGAACCATGGAGTACATATGGGCTGGTGGCCTCTGCAGGCAAATACAGTTGACCCATGAATAACGTGGGTTTGAACTGAGCAGGGCCACTTATACAAGAACATTTTTCAATAGTAAATACTGTAGTACTACATAGTCTGAGGTTGGTTGAATCTGTGGATGCCAAGAACAGGGGATACTGAGGGCCACTGTAAGTTACATGTGGACTAACCTCAGTGTTGTTCAAGGGTCAACTTTAGTAATAAATACTCTGTACATCTTAAAGTACCTTTGTGTCTTTTACAGCAGTAGGCTTAGCATATAGTAAGCATTCAATAAATGTCTGTTGAAGAAATGCATAAATGAGAGCAAATCAAGAGTCAATGGCCCTGGAAAGTAGGCTCATTCCAGTATTAGCTATGGATAATCAAGAGCTGACTGTAGTTATATTTACCAATAGGAAAAATGATACAAATTCTTTCCCCACATTTAAATTCACTCTCCTATATATGCATTCATTAAAAAAATTATACATACACAAACACATTTCTCAAAAAGGCAAGCCAGTTTCAAAACTTAAAATGTATATAAACATATTAATACAAATTATCATGCAAATCATGAAAAACATAATGTAAAATTCAGCCCTGAACAAACTACCTTTAAGGAAGAATAAAGAATCGGCAGAAAAGGGTCTGCAAGAAACCAAGATAAGGGCTAAAAGGAGAAAGAAGCAAACAGAGACCATCACCTGGAGAAGTCTAGAGAGTGAGGCTGTAACAACATAAGCCGCTCTTTACTGACAAGTTACCTTAGGTAGATATGGTTATGAACACTTGCATTATTCTTATATGGACATATTTTATCATCATTCTAACTATGCATTTCAGATTTACCATCTTCCATGACTTAGCCTGATTCATTTCAAATTATTTTCACATTCATAACCTCATTCAGTTCTCACAACTCTGTGAGGCTGGCAGGACAGGTAAATCATCCTCATTAAAAAAATGAGGAAACGAGAACAGGAGTTAAATAACTTGCAAAAAGACAATGGGTAATATTAATATTAAAGTTACAATTAATATTTGTTGCTGGCAGTTAAATGGCCACAGAAATTTTTCCTTCAATGTTTCTAAATTTCATTTATAAGTTAACTGGCCTGCTATGTGAGAAATTACTTTATGCAATCGGAAAACATTATATAACTATGGATGATATTATCACCAAACACTCTACATAAGATAATGGAAAATGCTTTTTCAAATGTAGGCTCTTAGGATAAGACCTAGAATTATTATTTTTTTAAAATGTAGACTAGTCCTTTGGAATAATAAAAGAACAGGCAAAACAATATGAATTTAAGGAAGAAATACAAAATATCTAACAAGTACCTATGCAGTATTCAGCTCTCCAACAACCAAAGAAATGTGAAATTGAAGCAATGAGATTCCATTTTTTTCTATACTATTTACAAGTTCAAAATAATTATCATGTGAGGAAGAAGTGTAATGCAGTTATTAGATTTCTGAGGGGTGCATTAATATTTATCCAAATTAAAAAATTTTAAACTTACAGTGATTTGTGCTAAGGAATTACTACTATAAATGCATAAGGTAAATATGTAAAAATTTTCTCTGTAGTATTGTTTCCAATAACAAAAAAGTGGAAACAACCTAAATATTCATCAGTCAGAGTAGATTAAATAAATCATGGAAGATCCATACAATGCTACACAATGTAGAGTTTGAAAAGAATTTTAAAAATTTATGTGTGTGCACACATGTACATGTATACGTATTTTTTTTTAACTTGGAGCTCTACCTTATTTTGATAGGAACATGACTATTCTACCATATGGATACCCACTGAGGGACATTTTAGTTATTCTCAATATTTTGCTAATATAAACGATCTTGTAGTGACTGTCCTTATATATATGAGTATATGTGTATTTATATACATATATGCATGTTTGTACATATATAATCTCTTCACACATTCTTGCTACCATTTCTACAGAATATATTATTGGAAATATATATTATATATAGCATAATAATAAATATTATAAATATTATATATAATATTTCCAATATATAGGACATAGGATGTGTCCATTTAAATTTGGATAATTTTGCCAAATTGCTTTCTAAAAGCTTTTGCCGATGTACAGTCTCACTAACAATACTGTTGAAAAAAAATACAAACATTTAGGGACAGTCTGACCAACTCCCCATGGTGTAGGGCTTTACCCTTCTCCCTTGTTCTGGAAACCACACTTCACAGAACCCAGCCCAAGACAGCAGTCGTCTTTTGGGCAGCCGTATCATACAGAGCACAGTAACCGCAGCCTGTAAAACCCTTTGCACATATTTCTGTTACACCACATCTTCCCCATTCTATGGTCGGGAAGTTGTGTTTTCAGACCTAAGAACCAGGAATTCTCTATTTCAAGAGAATATAGTCAAAGCAATGTAAAATACAGACTTACCAGTTCATTTTTCGTGTTTAGGTTACTCTCTAGCTCCTCACAGCTCTGTTTCTGTAACATAGCCTCCTCTTTTAATGATTTGTTCAGTTTATCTTGATTTTTAATTTCCTCAAGGAACCTTGTTTGTTTGCTCTTAAGCTCTTCAGTTTCCATCATCTGCTTTTCCAGGTCTCTTTCCAGTCTTTCTACCTCTTCTGCCAGTACAAAGTTAATAGTTTGTTGATCATTATATTTTCTATTTGAAGAAAGGTAAGACTGTTTCTCAAATAATGGCAAAAGAAGTCTTAGAATAGTATAAATATAATTCTACTTTTTAAATTATTCACTATGGGTTTTGGAAAAAAAGACTACTTTGAGCTAGAAAATGATTTACATTAAGAGGTAAGAAGGCAATATCATTTGGATAACAATTTTAAAAGACAACAGTTTAATTCCAAGTATTTAATTAAATTAATGTATTGATAAATAAGGTTTTTCTCACATCTCCCAGAAAAAACATGCAATATTTTATTTGATATTAGTAATTACACTTCAAAGGATGCTGCAAGCATGTTTGCAAAATAAAATACCATGTTATCTTAAAAATCCTTCAAAGGCTTCCTGTTGAGCTTAGGATAGGATCCAAATAGCTTACGTAAGGAACTGATAAAACTTTTCATGTTTTGATCCCAACTCCCTCACCAGTCTGATTTCCAAGCATATCCCACAGTAGCCGTTCTGAAACGATTCCACTTCTTCAGATGTGTGATGCCTGTTCTCACCTGTAGGCTTTTATTCACACCTTTTGCCTGGAACCATCTTCCTCTATCTCCTACCAGCCTATTTTGCATCCTCCAGGTCTTAGTTTTAAAAAGCACTCTGAGAAGCCTGCCCTGACTCTACCTTCCCCAGGTTAGATGTTTCTCAGGGATGCTCTGATGCCACCCTGTACCTCGCCGTGGCCTTTGTCACAGAGGGAGTTGGAAAATGTGATCAAATAGCTTGGCTGTCTGCCTTCCCCACCAAAGCTTTGCACAAGCGGAAACTGTATCTATTCGTCTTCTGGGTCCCAAGAGCTCAGCACCATTAAAGACTCCTAATTAGCATTCAAAGTTGTAAAAGAATCATAAGTATTTCCCCCAACACTGTATTTGTATAATGACTTCCCTTTGCATTATTTATATTTTTTAATGATTCCAAAACATCAACTTCAGGTTAACAAATGCTGAGTTAGGGCAACCCCAAACTAATAAAAATGTACCATATTTATCAAGTATTGGATCAAACCATATGAAACTGCTGTTTTTCTAAGTCATAGTTTTTCTAAGTCTAACATCAATTTCAAATGGTTGAACATATAGGCTCATACCCTAACACTCTAAAATGGCTAGTCCATATCTTCCTCTTTCCTCAAACCTCCCATACTCCTTCTATTTTCTTTCTCAGCTGATGACCTCATATTTCATTGAGAAAACAGACCCCACCAGTGGGAAGGAACTTCCTCATTTTCCTACCATGAAAGTAACAAAACTGCCCACACCTACACAGATGTACTCTCCCTTCTGATGGAGAAAGTGTCCCATCCCTCTTATCAAGAGACAATCTTTCCTCTTTTTCTCTGATCTCATTTCTTCGTCTTCTCAAGGACCAAAAGAACTGAGCTACAATTTGTCTCCCCACTGCACTCTTGAATATTCTGTTTCTTTGATTACTAGCTTTGAGGTTTATTGCCTTCACTTCTGCCCATTTCCTGGTTTCGAAGCTACTGGTGAAATTTTTATTTTTAACTTTAAAAAAAAACTCATTTATTAGGTACAAAGGGAAAGAAATTGCAGGAGGAAATTTCAAATCTTCACCCAAATGTCCCCTTCCCATTCAGTCTTCAGTCTATAATCAAGCATTTGTCCCAAACACTCCGTAACTGCTCCTGTCAATATCACCATCATGTGTTGCCAGTCCAGAGCACTTCTCTGAGCTCATCCCTTCTTCTTCATGTCTCTGTGACATTCAACACAGCTGACCATTTCCTCTTTTGAAATCTTCTCTGGGCTTTTGCAACCCACTATTTCCTGGTTTTCTCCTACCTTGCTGGCCTCTCTTTCTCAGTTTCCTAACTGGCTACATTTTTTGCTTTTCCCAACCCCTGCCTGAGTGAGCTAGCTTATTCCAGTGGAATTAAGTATCATTTCCATGCTAATGACTCCCAAATTTATATCTCTAGGAAAGACTTCTTTGAACTCCAGACTCATATTTCCAATTCTCTTCTCACAGACATTCAAACTCAGCATTCTGAGTTCTCCTATTTCTATAAACGATATTACCATCTAACCACTTACTCAAGCCACAGCCTGGGAATTAGCCAATGCATTAGATGGTGCTGCTGATTCTACCTCCAAAGCTGATCTGCTATTCCACATCTACCACCTAAATACAGGCCACCAACATTTCTTCTAGCCTAGATTACTGCAATAGCCCCCTAACATGTCCCTTTAACTACATTTCACCCTGCCCCAAATCATTCTCCATCCTGCATCAAAAATAATCCACATCATATATAAGCTGGATCATGTCCCATCCCTGCTTAAAAGTGGTCCATGGCTTCCACTGCACCTGGAATAAAATCCAAAGCGCAAACCCCTGTGCCACCTTGCCCCTCCCCATCTCTCCAAACTTGTACTTGAGCTATCCTCCAGTCAGACCCATCTGTCTTCTCCACTAAAACACAAGCTGCACAAAGGCCATTACTTTATGTCTTACTCACCACTATATCTTTAGGGCCAGATGCAGTGCCTGGCTCACAGTACCTGCTCAATGAACATTGTTGAATTCATTGATTTATGGTGTCATTTTCTATGCAAATTTTAGTAACATTATAAAGTTCATAATAAATATATTTTTCTGGATAACTTCTGAAATAAACTCCTCTCCCTCCCAAATTTAGTTTCTAAAAAAAATGTCATCTTACCTAAACTGAATCTCTCAAAAGCTTCCTGTCTGTCCTGAGTGGTTACTGGCTGGCCTTCCAAACTTTCCAGTGAACGGAGGTGAAAAATGGTAAACTGAAGGTAGTGAGGAAGGGTCACAACTGGATTTTCAGCCAGGATCAGAGAAGTCAAATCTTGAAGTGGTTTCAATTTGCTTACATCTTGGAGCTGAAATGATACATAACATTATCATTGGTATAACTGAATGAAAAAATCATGCCTAAGGGAAGTAATAAATCAAGGAAATTGCTATTAACATGGCATGGAACCTATTCATGAAATTCATTACCCAAAAGTAGTGGTTTGAAGGGAGGAACAGAGTCCTCGAGTGTCTATAATGTATCAGGGCAATAGTAGGCATTTTCCATATGACATTTCATTTGTGACTCCCTCACAAAAACCTATGATTTAAGTATCATCTCAATTTTACAGATGGTGAAACTGAGGTTCAAAGAACTTAGGTGGCTTGCTCAAAGCTCAGAGGTTATATGTGAATGAAATAGGATTTGAATTCAAGACTGTAACTCTGAACCTATTCTTTTCATTATACTGTTTGAACAAATCAAAAATAAAAAAGGATATAAAAAAAGATTTTGGTAACTCTTCAGACAACAGTTATAATTGATGGTTCAAAGAAATAAGGATACGTGGAGATACTCATGGTTCTGAAGTGAGATTTTTACATTTATTCAAAGAGGGATTTTAAAAGGTTGAAACACCACTACTAATAGCTAGTCTAAGTAAATCACTCCCAAGTGGATGTGCATCACTCTTACTGATGTCAATGTCAAATATGAACTGGGATGAGTAAGGCATATGAAGTTAGAAATAATAATATTTATTGAATGATTTTTCTCTTAACCTTTGCTGATGCTGTGTACTATCTAAGGACCAACTACTTCAGAAATATTTGTGGCAAATTTTAGATTCCTGGCTACCTCATCCCATCACCCCACAAGCTCCAAGAACTCCAAGCTGACACTGCGCAACATGGTGTGGGACTTGCACTCTGAGGCTCTTGGGCTGTCACGGTGAAATGGTAGTCACCTTTCCAAATCTTTATAAAGATGAACTAAGAAAGTATAGACACTGTTAACTACACAGCATTAAAAAAATGTTATTTATTATTACTGGCTTCCACTGGTAAAAGTTTAAGGAATATAACCTTAGAGTTATTTAGTGTTTTTAAAGCTTTTAAAGTATTTTCACATCTATCATTTCATCTGAGCCCCACAACACTTCTGTAAAGAAGGAAGGGTAGAGACTGTTTTCTCCAACTTAAAACAGTGAGTCTTAGAAAGATGAAAGATTCTCCAAAGGTCACAGAAAGCAAGTCTAGACCCATACTAGAAGTCTTATCTTTTGTTTTCTATTCTAAAATTTTAAGTTCTTTAATCATAGTAGGATTATTTTAGTTTTAATACAGATTTAATAAATTGATGTTTTTACTTTGCAATGCTTGTTGAGCATTTAACTGTATAAAAATCACAAGAAAATCATAAAATATACTCCAGAGAAAAATGTACATCATTATCAGATAATGTGAACCATGATAACAAAGTTGCTCTACTATGAAAAGCTAGTGATTAACCTCCTATAACACCTAACACCATAATCAAGATTAATTCCTAAGTCTGAAGAAAAGAACTCTGCTCTAGGCATTCAGTGACCAAGATTTTGGCACAAGTTGACTGACTTTGGGTAAGAGACTTAATCTCTCTGAAACTTTACTTGAAGATGGGAATAAGACAACGGTACCTAACTCATAGAAATAATCCCTGCACTGCCTCCTTAACAAGAGTGTTCTGAGGCTCAAGTGAAATGAAAGATGGGAAAATGCTAAGAGGCTGACTCTCAGTTACCATGGAACCATGCGAAGCCAGGACTGCCTATATCTAATCACCTTAGAGAATACTAGGGTATGTCTGAACTTGATGTTCAGTCAAAGGATCAAAGATGTTAGAAGAAACCTCATTTTTTAAAAACTTCAATTTTAATCTTTTTATCCAACAAGTCCAAAAATTAAAAAAAAATACTCTTGCTACTTTGAACAACTTACCGATGATATCTTGTTGCCTTTCAGATTGAGGACTCGCAAAGATTTTAACTTCTTCCCTAACCATATCGGAATATGTTCAATTTCATTTCCTGCAAGGTTTAGCTTTTGCAGATTATGCATATTTTCTATGCCTTCAATTTTGCTGGAAACCAAAGGGTAAAATCAAACTTAGTAACTTAGTAGGTATAATGATAGTGTCTCTCCACTGTATTTTTAAAATAAACAGCCTTGGCTTTATGTAGAGTTACTTTTCATAATTATAATTTATAAACGAGAAGCAAAAAATAGTGGTTAAAAACAAATGTAACAGAACCGCTCTAGTAAACTCTTCATTACTGTCTGTGTTTAGGGATCCTATCTATCTTACTATCAGACTTTAGGATTCTATAAAACAGAAAAGAAGAGTCTGTCCTTGGCATTCCCACTATAACCTCTGTGAAGAGTACCAGTGGACAGCCAGGGGAGAACTGGAAAATTCAACAGCACAGACTACAGCCCCGCACATGAGATGTTCTTAACTATCACCTTAAGTCATCGCCAAAAGATGAGCTATGCCAGTAAGATATGGCTGCCATTTTGAGCTGGTGGACCCCCAGAATGATACTGTATTTACAAACATAAGTATTTTATTCAGAATATTTAAATTAACAAAACATTTATCAACTGTACTGATGAACTGTCATTGATAAAATATTTTCCCAAATTGATTCCAATTTAATTCCTTGATCAATTCTCTATACTGGGTAAATATTTCCAAGCTTCTTTATTTTCAGCTTCATTTTGTTGAAATTATTTTCATCAGGATCAATTTTTTAATATAAACTTTACATTAAGGATTTGATTCATTAATCAGATTTTTTCCACATTTCATTTTTGCCATATTAGAGCTTCTGCTACTGCTAGCTGTTTTGGTTTTTACCATTATATATACCAAGTCTAACGTGGAGGAAAAGTATATAAACATGAAAATTTTCGAGATTTGATAAGTGCATCATTTCACCTTTAACAAGTTTTCTGTGTGCATTTTTAGCCACTGTCAGTTTTATTATGTTTATTTCTCAGAGTAACATATATTATGAAGTGGAAACAAGGCTGAAGTGTATTTCTTATAGCAATGAGCAAAGAATATCAAGATTAACATATAAGATCAAAACATGATGAAATATTTTTAGGATCAAAATGACAGGGTTAAAACATTCTGCTTCATGTAAACTTTCTTAAGGGCAGTTAATTATAGACTGTATCTGGGAAAATTTCCTGTCAAAAATGGAATTAAGATAAAATTTGGTACTCAAAAATGTATCTCCTTCTTCAATAATGCTGGATATTATTCAGTACTTCAGTAATGCCAAAATATGACAGTTATCCTATGTGAAGGACTGGACTACAAATGAACAATGATCCAAGTACCTGGTCTTTCAAAGGATTCTTTCAGTAATGTGGGCAACATTTATCTACCTCTGTAACAAAGATGATGACCCTGCAGTGCTACCCAAAGAAGAATTTACTTACCAGATTTTGTTATATGATAAGTTGAGTTCACGTAATTTCGACAGCTTGTCCACCTTCTCAATCTTCCCTATTAGATTATGGCTGAGATTCAGTATTTCAAGTTTAACACATTTTTCCAAGTTTTCGATATACTAATTGGAAACAAATGAACAAATACTTTATACAACAGATGCTTCGACATAAGCACAACATGTAAGCATGTGCATCAGGGGCTGTTCCGATGTCACCAGGGAGTAAGCCCTTACTGCCTCCCAGACAAGCCCTTGGTGCAGCTCTCCTTGGCCAGGGGTGGCCACTCTCCTCATACCGCCAAACTCTCCTTGCCCCTTGGTGGATGACACTTTCTAATCACTGAAAAACTGAAGCTTAGCCACCAAGAATTCCCCCATCAATCCCTTCATCCACCTCGACTTTTCTATGCCTCTCCCTTTCTCCCCTACTTCCTTCAAAGCTCAGCTAGGTACTTACGCTCTTGCATAACCTCACCCACCTCCTCTCCCCATGCTCTTGCATCTTCAGTCTCTTTCTCCCTTCTGGATCATCCCCTCAAGTTTAAAAACAGTCACTATTCAACAGACATTACGCACTTACTACAAACCAGATGTGGCACCAAGCAATGGAGACATACCAGTGATCGAGACAATCTCCCTGCTGCAGGAACCTATATTCAACATGCTCAATCTCCTCTGTGTAATACAAACCATCTCACACTGAACTTGTTTCCTATCAGGCTTTCATTTTCTCTCTCTTGTCACCACATTCTCACACAAGTTGTGTACATTTGCTCACTCTGCCGCCTTCCATTCACTCTTATCCTATTGGTAAGGCAATATACCTTCCACCCTGACTATGGATTCAAAAAGTTCCCTCCAAGACCCCCATTCATTCATCCTTACCACAATATTTATCAAACATGGATTATGTGCCAGGAGCTGCTCCAGGCACTGGATACATGGAAATACAGTGGTGAATAAGGAAAACAAGGGTCTTGCTTTCAGTCGCAGAGAAAGCCAATTAACAGAGAAATAAAAATTTTAGGCAGTGAAGTATACCAGCAAGAAAATAAAGATAATGTGGTGCGACAGAACGCAAGGCACCAAAACAGCAGATTCTGTTTGCTGTGTTCACTGCAATAGTGCTGATGTGTGGCACAGATGGATTCTAAATAAATATTTGTTGACTGAAAAACATGAGGAGTAACTGAGGAAAAGGTGGTTAACTGCAATTAGGTGGTAAGAGAAGGCCTCACAGAAAGAGAAAGTATATTGAATTGAGACCCTAATATTGAGAATCCAACTGTGTGAACGTCTGGGTAGAGGAAAAAAAAATGCAAAGCCTCTAAAACAATAAACCTGATAGGTTTGAGAAATAGAAGGAAGGGCTTTTAAATTGCCAAACCAAATAACATCTTCCAAGTTTTCATCCTATTTGATGATTCTGTGACATTTTATATCATCCTTTCCTGCCTGAAGTTCTCCCTCCTCTGGCCGCCGTTCATCACACTCTTGGATCTTCTCTTATTCCAACAGCCCCATCAGATCTTTTCATTGGGTCTGTCTCTCCCATGTGCTCACTCTCTTTTTTTGATGCCCCCTCACTATTTCTCCTCTTATTACTAGGCATTCTCCACACTAAGCTCTAAGTTCCCAGAGATCAGAAAGTAAGCTTATTCACTTCTGTATCTATTCCTACAGCCTCACATAATGCCTGGCATAGAATAATCACACATATTTATTAACTTGTTATTTCATTTTCATAACCTTTAAACTCCAGTATGTCTTTTTTCCTTTTTAATTACACAAGACATAAATATAGTCCAATAAAAATTTCAAAACAAAGCATAAAAAGTTCTCTTCATCAGGTCCCCAGGCACATAAAAAAATCTCACTGCTCAAAGGTAACCACTGTTAAGAGGCTAGTGTAAGTACACCCAGACCTTTCTATTCATTTACATCTATATATATACAGATAGGAAAACAAAACTTTAAAAAAATATTTTGAGAGTTTACTATACAAAATATTTTACAATTTGCTTTTTTCATTAAATATACTGGAACATTTCCCCACATTAATACATAGAGCTTTTTTTTTTTTAAGAAACTTGGTAGTACTTAATGATATATTGCACCATAATTTTTTAAAGCACTCCTCTATTGACAGACATTTGCTTAGTTCCATATTTCTATTTTAAATAAGGCTTTAAAACATGACTATAAAGACATTTTTGGGTATGCATGCAAATATTAGTAGAATAGCCATCAAAGTGTAAAGCTGCTGCATTGGTGAATGTAAACTCAGTAAGTATAAAGTCAATTGCTGGATCAAATAAGCACATTTGAAATTTTGATAAATATTACCAAGCTGTTTTCCTAAAATGCTCTACCAATCTATACATTCTCTAAGACCATATGAGAACACCCATTGCTTACACCTTTCTGAACACTGAAATCATCTTTTAAATTCTTGTCCATTAGACACACAGATGGAAAATGGTATCAAACTATTGTTCTATTTCACATCTTTTTTGATATTAATGAAGTGGAACAGATTTTCATGTTAATATTAGCCATTTATAATACTTTTGAAAAAGGACAGTTCATATCCTTTGCACATATTCCATTTAGTTGTCTCTTTCTATTGAACTGCAGGAACTCTTTATATTATGTGGATATTCTTACATGTGTTGGAAACACTACCTGTCAGCTTGTTTTTCTTTAACTTTTTAAAAGATATCGTTCATTAAATACAACTTTTTAATCTTTATGTAAGCCAAATCTGTCAACATTTTGCTTTGTGGTATTAGGGTTGGTGTTTGCTTAGAAGGCCTTTCCAACTCTAATATTTAAAAATATATTCTCCTATATTCTTTCCTGATACATTTATAGTGCTTTTGTCAGTTGATTTTTGTTTTTTGTTTTCATTAAGATCTTCAATCCTCTGGAATTAATTTTTGTGACTAATATAGTAGGTATCTAAGTTTATATTTTTTCCAATTAAAACATTAACTTGGCTATTACAATGTGCTCCTGTTACATAGTTTATGAATAAAGTGGTAAACACTCTAGAACAGGGATCAACAGACTTTTTCTGTAAAAGACCAGATGTAAGTATTTTTGGCTTTGTGAGCCACATAGTCTCTGTGACAATCACTTACCTCTGTTATTATAGTGCAAAAACCAGCACAGACAATATGTAAACAAATATAATTGTGCTCTAATAAAACTTTATCAACAAAAATAGACAGTAGGCTCAATTTGGCCTGCAGGCTGTAGTTTGCTGACCCCTTCTCAAAAGAGAATCAAAATACAGAATAATAGGAGCTTATGAATTTGAAGATGCCATACTTCTGATGTAGAACTTTCACTGGAAACAATCTGCTACAAATTAGGTGATATTAGGATGAAATAGTACTGTAAATCTAACATAATTCTTTAAAAAATTCTAAAGCACATAAAAAGTAAAAACAATGCCTATATTCAGAAATGTTGTTAACGTACCCTAAATTTCTTGCCACCATCTTTAGAAAGTGAAAGGTTCAGAGATTTTACCAAGGCCAAATTGTCTTGTTTAGTAAGTTTTTTAACCAGGGCCTCTGTAATATATCGAACTCCTACATGTGAATCAGCTTCTGAAATTACACAAACAAATCATTATCAGTAGAGGAAGACGTAACTATTTTGAAAAACAAATTGTTTTGATGTTACATAATAAAAAAAGTTAAGCCATGCAAATGTAAAAACAGCTGGATAGTTCTAATTGCAATGTTTTAATAATAATATTTTACTTTATGTAGCATTTCATAATAATGACAACAGTTATACTCTATAAATATTGTGTACCAAGCTTTGTGCTAAGTGCTTTACATTTTAAAAATTTAATTTGTATAACAAATCTTTGGGGTAGAAATTATTATTCCCTTTTATTAAAAAATTACAATAATTTGCTCAAGATCTTGTAGCTTGCAATCAATGTGCAAATCTAGGACTTGAACCCAGGCAGATGATTCTAAAACTTAACACTTCTAATCATATGCAGCACTGAAGTTTTTAGCAATATTTTAATGTTAGTTACTTTTTAAAATAAACTGGCAGTATTTAGTTGTTTGTTTTATAAAATTCCAATCCAAAGTTCAAAAACATTGGAATTCCTACAAATTATCTTTTCTTATTTTTTTTATGGTGAGAAACTCAAATTTGTTGCTTTTTTAAATACAGAGGATCACAACATATTTTATAGAGATAAAGTACTAACTTAATGGATCACATATCCTGTCCCAAGACCTTCCTGAATATTGCCATCAAAGCTTATTAAAGCCAAGTTCCATTTTACAAAAGCAGCCATAAAAAGAAAAATACTTCCTGGTTCTTTCTTTATGAATCAAAAAAAAAAAATTAATCCTGGGTTCAGATACAGGCTGCAGGCCAAAGTTTCCCTATGATTACTTATAATAAGTTAATATTACATTTATTTTGGTTCAAAAAAATAATTTTTAAAAATTTGGGCCATTCTGGGAAAGAAAATGACTAATATTCTAAAAATATTGATCAAATTAGAAATAATAATGTACCAGCTGACAGCAAGGATATAGTCTAAACTCAATGCTGATACTGTTTATTAATAAACACTGATTAATACTCATGTCAACAGATTTTAATGACTGTGATTTCATGACTTAGCAAAGAAATCACAAAAAGTTTTCTTTCACAATTAACCACATGAAATAGATCCATTTAAAAAAGAATTTATTTTTGAAAACAGATTCACAGACTAACAGAATGCTTTTAAGAAAAAAAATTAAAACCTTGGTAAAACATATATATGTCCCTTATGTGAAAATCGGTCTATCCACACATAAGGAGTTTTCCAATAAGCAGACTGGAATAACCCAAGGGTGGATAACATTTTTATACTGAATTAAGGTGCTCCATTCTGAATTGAACAGATATGCCCTCCCGCTAACCAAGGATGATGGTAATTTGGCACATGAGCTTTAAGGCACTCCCCCACCACAAGAAATGAAGCTTCCTCTTTTTGGAAACTCCCTCCTGACCCTTTTAGACATCTTCACCCTCACCCAGAAGCCACCATCCTCCACTGTCCTTACACAATTTCTGTCAATAAAAACAAAAGGTCAAGTCCATAGTAGCATATGCACTACATGTGGACCAAAAAAGTTCAATATTTTCCATCTCTACTAAAGAATATGTGGTGAAATTCTTAGATTAAAAGGCAATACCTTTATGGCCTTGGTAGTCCAACAGCATGGTGTTTTCACCTATAATCTTGACTTGCTCACACCACTGTTTTCCAGAATGAAAAGGCACAGTCTCGGATCCACTTAAAGGTGAAAGTGACCTAGATCTCATATTGGACATAAGAGATGATGGACTAGAAGAGTGAGATGATGGTGGCATCTTTGCTTTGGAAATTTTTTGCTGCGGTCCTTTCTTCATTGCAAGAATAAAGCCAGGTATCCATCAAAACCTGTAAGAGTTTTCAGTATATTTAACAAGGTTAATTTTTAGAGCTGTCAAAACTCTTAAATTAATCTATTTCTAGAATTTTCAAGACTACAAAGTTACAAACTCAGAGGCTACATACAGATGCTAGAACCCACAGTACCACAAGCAGATGGGAGTAGACACTATTTTAAACACTGCTGATTACCCTGCCAGAGGGAAAAGAGACCTCCAAAGGGTCTTATACTGACACATACTCCAGCCATAAGTCTTACCTGTCATTTTGGTTCTCAATTTATTGGACTGAGCTAGTCACAATGCCTCTTCTACCCACAAGGGGTCCTTGTGGGTAGAAGCTGGAAATATGTGGCACTCAGCAGTACTTCATACTGATAAGCACCCTCTCCTTCCTAAAACAGTTTCTGCCTTTGGTTTCTGGGACACCACACTCTCCTGGTGTCCTGTTGTCTCCCTGGCTACTTCCTTGGCCTCCTTTGCTGGCTAAGGCTCTCCTACTCAATCTTTAAATGTCAAAGTTCCTCAAGTCTCTTCTGGTCTCTCTCTAATCTTATTTTAGACAATCTAATGCACATCCATAGTTCCCAGTGCCACTGTATACTGATATTTATATCTTCAATCAAACCTTTCTCTGAATTCTGGACACCTATTCCCAGCTGCCTACTTGGTATCTCATTGGCATCTGGAATCAACATGCCCAAGCTGAATTTATCATTTTCATTCCTCCCTCATTTTCCTCCCATCTTGTTCTTCCTTCAGTGTTCCCTAACTAGTGAGCAATGCTCATGGGAATAAGCTGGAAACCTGGGAGTCATTCTGGATGCTTCCTTTTCCCTTCTTCCACTACCTAACCACTCATCAAGTTTTGTCAATTCTACCTCATAAATACCTCTCAAATTAGTCTACTTCCCATCTCTACTCTCATCCTCTCTAATCCGTGCCCTCAAGCTGCTATAATAGCTTCTCACTGATCTGTCTACAAGATCTCTTGCCTTCCTCCTCCATCACTACATTGCAGTCAGATAGCCAGAGTGATCTATTTAAAAACTTAATCACTCTGTAATAAATGAAACATTTACCATGGCCTATGAGGTCCCCTGTGATATGGCTCTGTCTCTCTAGCTTCACATCTGTCACTGCTTCCCTCAACTCTGTGGGCTCCAGCTACATGGACCCCTACACATAATTTCTCCTGCCACAAATGCTTGTCCTCAGTCTTTTTCTTTTCTTTTTTAACCTTTTACCTTTAAATTTTTACCACCTTAACCATTTTTAAGCACACAGTTCAGTGGCATTAAATAAAGTCATAATGTTGTACAAGCATCACCATCATCTATCTTCTCATCTTGTAAAACTGAAATTCTATACCTGTTAAACAATTCCTCCCAATTTCTCCTGCCCCAGCTCTTGGCAACCACCACTCTATTTTCCATTTTTATGATTTTGACTACTCTACATATTTCATATAAGTGGAATCATACAATATTTGTTTTTCCATGACTGGCCTATTTCACTTAGCATGTCCCCAAGGTTCATCTGTGTTACAGCAAATGTCAGAATTTACTTCCTTCTTAAGACTGAATAATATTCCATTGTATGCATATACCACATTTTGTTTCATCCATCAATGAACACTTGGGTTGCTTCCATGTTTTAGCTATTGTGAATAATATTGCTTGGCCATGGGTGTACAAATACCTCTTTAAGACTCTGCCTTCAATTCTTTAGGGTATAGACTCAGAAGGGGAATTGCTGGATGATACGGCAATTCAATTTTCAATTGTTTTGAGGAACTGCCACATTGTTTTCTACAGCAGATGTACATTTTATATTCCACCAACAGTGTATGAGGGTTCCAATTTCACCAAATTCTTGCCAACATTTGTTATTTTTTGTTTTTAACTGTAGCCATCCCAATGGGTATGAGGTGGTATCTCACTGTACTTTTGATTTGCATTTCCCTAGTGTTTAGTGATGTTGAGCATCTTTTCACATGCTTATTGACCATTTGTACATCTTCTTTGAAGAAATGTCTACCCAAGTCTTTAGCCCAAAATAGGGTTGTTTGATTTTTGTTGTTGTTCAGTTTTAGGAGTTCTCTTTATATACCATCTGGATATTAATCCCTTATCAGATATATAATTTGCAAAAATTTTCTCCTATTCTGTGAATTGACTTTTTATTCTGTGATATTGTCTTTTGACGCTCATTTAAATTTTCTTAAGAAGTTGAATTTATCTATTTTTTCTTTTGTTCCCTGTGCTTTTGGTGTCATATCCAAGAAATCACTGCCAAATCCAATGTCATGAAACTTTTGCTCTGTGGTTTCTTCTAAGAGATTCATAATATGAGGTCTTACATTTAGGTCTTTGATGCATTTTGAGTTAATTTTTGTATATGGTATTAAAGGTCAAACTTCATTCTTTTGCATATGGATATCCAGTTTTCCCAGCACCATTTTTTAAAAAGACTGCCCTTTCCTCACTGAATGGTCTTGTCACTCTTGTCAAAAATCATTTAACCACATACAGGAGGGTTTTTATTTCTGGGCTTTCTATTCTATCCTGCTCTGTGTCTGTCTTTATGTCAGAGCCATGCTGTTTTGTTTACTGTAGCTTTGTAGTAAGTTTTGAAATCAGGAAGTGAGTCCTTTAGCTTTGTTCCTTTTTAAGATTGTTCTGGCTATTTGGTGTCCCCAGTCTTATCATATTCATCCTTAGTCTTTCTTCAGAGATCAGCTAAATTGTTGCTTTCTCAGGAAAGCCTCCTCCATGGGGCAGACTAAGTAAAGTACTCAGTTATATATTCTTAATCAACCTATTTTTCTCTCAGATAGTCATAGTTTGCTATATTTATTTATTATTTGCTTAACATCTGTCTCTCCCCTGGACTGTAAGCTCAATGAGAGCTTGTTTTGTTTACTGTCTCCCTAGTCTAGCAAAGTG